TGACACTTTAAAAAATATTTCTCGAAAATCTCTGTAGATAGTTTAATTGACCGCTAATTATCTTCTAATCTAATTAAAATTTTTAATTACGAATACGACTATTAGATTCGTCTTTTCATTACGAATCCAACGGTATAAAAAACTCATTTTTCATAAAATATGTAGATAGTGCCTTTTTTAAACTGGACGGCAGTTTTGACAAAGTGTCGCTGGATACGGTAGGGAAGTTACAAACAACTCCGAACGGAAATCGGCATATCCTAACGATGCAGGATAATTTTTCCAAATATTGTATCGCGGTGCCGATTCCTAATATCGAGACAAAAACAATTGCCCACGCAGTGGCAACTAATCTTTTTTCCGTCTTTGGATCACCACGATGCGTGCTGACTGACAGGGGAGCCAGTTTTGTGAGTTCATTGATGCGCAAATTAGAAAGAATTTTTGGCGTCAAGCAACTCACTACTTCCGGATACCGACCACAGACCAATGGTGCACTGGAGAGAAGTCATATTGAACTGACGGATTATATTAAACATTATGCAAACGATTTTGACGATTGGGATCGCTTGCTTCCGTTTGCCATGTTTAATTATAATACCTCGGTTCATGAGGCTACAAACTTTACACCATATTAACTCGTGTTCGGGCATTTGGCAAGAGCGCCCAGCTCATTGCCTCAAGGCCCGGAAGTCGAAACGTATGGCTCCTATTTGAAGGACCTTATCAAAGGAAAGGTCGAAACAAGCGTACGATAGAAAAACTAAAAATCTAAATGCTAAGATAGGAGATCAGGTTTATGTTCATAAAGAGGTTCGAACTAACAAATTCGATAAACGAGCCGATGGCCCTTTTACTATTGTAGGATTTACTGAAAATAATAACGTGATCCTGGAAAACGAAAATGGCACGAGATTTGCGAAACATAGGGACAAAGTCATGATTGCCCATATATAATTCAAATCACTAATATTTAATATTGTTCTAGAATACGGATGGTCAACCAATCCACGATGATGGGAGTTGCTGTTCTAACCTTGCGATGTTTCCTTCCGATCACGACAGAAGCCCGACAGGAAGCCCTAAGCCAACCAGATACGCCTACAGGAAGTGACCATTACCAGGTCATCCCTCTTCAATCCAGCAGCGGTATGTACTTCGAGTACATCGGGGAAGTCAGGAGATCGGTTAGCAATTGGAGAATTGCCGTATTCCTGGACGTCGGAAAGCAGTGCCGATTTTTCGACAATCTAAAGCAGCGTCTAAAGAAGCTAGGAGCGCAGTGTGGACCCGAAGAGGAATGGTGTTTGGATCTAATGGAATCATACCAATGGGAAGACAGATGGGAAATGACCTCTGAACTCCAAAACCAGTTCCGAGTCCAAATCAAAGAATTAGAGAATACCAAAAGAATCTCACCTAGAAGAATGACCTCACAACTACGAGCAAGACGGGCTGTTCCTCTACTTGGCTTCCTGGGAAAAATTGCGGGACCAATTATTAGCGTGATGACATATGATGACGGAGAAAGATATGACGTAGCCATCCGAACCTTGAACCAAGCTCAAGCTAACTTATCGCACCTCGTTGGAAAGCAGACTCATATAGTCAGATCACAGCTTGATTCATTACATGCCCAGGTGCAGCGTCACGGTTCTTTCTTGCAGCATCTACAGGAACAACTCCACACGTTGGCTGCCAAGAATCTCGTCAAGATGAAGGCTGAGATGGAAAGAAGAAACCTGACCTACGCAATAGCCAGAGCTCTGAGACTAGGACTCGACCATAGTATTCAAGCCACCTCCACCATGCTGAAAGCGGTTCACGAAGCTAGAAAAGGACACTTGCATCCCGGCCTTATCACTTCTGCCCAGTTGGAACCAATTCTTCGAGATGTCCATGACAATCTTAAGGATGTTAAATTCCCCATGACAGGACCGAGGATCAGTATCGACGAACTGATGCATATCTCCACCGTCACAATCCTTTGTGAGGATCACTAGCTTAAAGTCCTCATCGATATCCCTCTCCTACAAAAATACAATTATCAGGCCTTTAAGCTTCACTCGCTTCCCACCACCCAAGAGATGCTCAAGAATGGTACTGGAAGGGCGTATATAAGATCAAGGTATGATTACCTGATCATAGACGAGGACCAGCGAACATATCTCCTGTTGAAAGAGCAAGACTGGGACCAGTGCAAATCGACGACCTCATTTCATGCGTGTCTACAAGGCACCCCCATCTACGATTTCCAGCAGCGAGCATCCGGGATCCTAAAACTGGGACCCGGGTGCTCCCTAAAAACCAAGGACGCTATCATCCCAGCCACGACCTCCCAGGCCGGAGAATCCGTATTTATTTTCGAATCAGAACTACACCTGAATTTAACCATGCTATCGCCATTATTGGCGAGATACGGTCACTTATTGGAAGGACCAGCGCTTACCGTTGACTACAGCTCCGAAGTTGAACCCAAATTCTCCGTCTTCGAGGCCAATTCCAAGACACTAGATGATTTAGAACAACACTATCTCATCAACGTCAGCTAAGAGGAGAGCATCAGATTTTGGTGTACGGATCATATGGAGGATTAATTTTATTTTTCATGATTCTCACGCTGTATATTTGCCGCGTCCCCTGCAAATCCGAAATAACCCACCTCACCCGGACATGCTGTGTGAAGGCAAAGGGTGAGAGTTTTGAACTACCAATACCAACACAAAAGAAATCCAGCCCCGCAGTTCACCAAGAAAAAAGGGACGAGCCAGTATACAAGGAAATTGCCTCGCCCTCAACCAAACCCACTTCTACCCAAGGAGAGGTAGTAATAGGGACAGAAAAAGCATCGACCTCAGGCACGTCGACCAACCAAAAGGAGAAAAAGTTCGCAACATTCAAAGAGTTTCAACAACGGAAAATCAGATGACTAATTAGCGGATCGGAATCCTGGACCTTCTATACCCCGACCGAAGACAATGCAAAAAAAAAGAGGGGGAAATCTCCGACAACCACCAGACGTTTCCACCATCAAGGGGACAACACCGAAGACCATCAGAACAAGGTTAGTGTCACAGGAGCCGCAGCTGACAATTAAAATCACGGATGCCCCAATAATTAATTAATTAAAGGAAGAGCAATTTTTTTAATATGTTCAACATTTCTCTTATTAAATATTTACCACAACCAAGGTCAATAAAAATATTTTTTTCCAGCCAAGACAATATCTATACTATCACTAAATAAAAAAAATATTTTAAACTAAAAAATTTACTATCATCAAGTAAAATTAGTTCACCTAACAAATAGAATTATCAAGTGTTTTGTTATAAAAGAGATCCATACTTTGGGATGAGGAGTGTCAGTGACGTCAGCGCCGTCGGGACATGTTCGGCTTAATCTTTTTTAAAAAAAAAAGAAGAATTTTCGTGAGGGAGGCTTACCAACTATGCAGCCGTTTGGGCCGCCCTCAAAATCGCCAAACTTCCTTTCTATCATATAGTCAACAGTGGTGAACGTGCGTGTATTTACAATGCACGGGCGTTCACCCATGAGCTATGGGAGTTTTGGGTCAGCGCCTAGTCATTGGCAGTCCTCACCACACTTCAAGTAATCCCCACCTTTCAATAAGGTATTAAGTTGTTATGATTTTGTTTATTCAAAGGGAGAATAGAGGAATTTCTCCTTCATTATTAGTATTCAATAAGTAGATCCTTGTGGAAGGATAATTAACAACGCCCATACATATTATGTACACAAGTATATGTATTAGAGAACGTTTAAATTATAAGAACGAATTTAGCTGCTGCGAGAGACGCCCTCGATACTGGTTCCGTCGGGACATGTTCGGCTTAATCTTTTTTAAAAAAAAAAGAAGAATTTTCGTGAGGGAGGCTTACCAACTATGCAGCCGTTTGGGCCGCCCTCAAAATCGCCAAACTTCCTTTCTACCATATAGTCAACAGTGGTGAACGTGCGTGTATTTACAATGCACGGGCGTTCACCCATGAGCTATGGGAGTTTTGGGTCAGCGCCTGACCGGTGGCGGCTCTCGCAAAACCATGCGCATTAATTGTATAATGAGGAAATCGTTGTGGTTTGAATCCGAACAGTGAACAGTGTATTAAGATAGGTCATTTGCCGTATCCAGCACCTAGTTCGGAGTATTTGTCCATAATTTGATTGAAAAAGGTCCGGAACGTACGTAAATTAATTTTAGAGAAATTACAAAATGATTGTTCGAATTTTCAAAGGTAACAAAATTCTTGGCGAAAATTTAATTATGTTCAAAATTTTTTTTAATAACATTCTTTGGAAAAATTTCAATTACATTCAAAAATTTTAGTAGATATTTACCATTCTAACAAAATTTTTAGAAAGAAATTTAATAATTAAAAAGAAAATTTTTAAATTCTACCTATATAACCCTTCAATTATTTTCAAAAAAAATTTTTTTTGATTATAATAATTTTTTTTCAAATTATTGAATTTTTAAAAGGTTTCAGATCAGAATCTTTGAAAATTTGAATTTTTCTAAGCTTTAAATGACAATTCTGTGAAATTAATTTAAAAAAAATATATATTTTAATTGCGAATTTATTTATATTCTTTGAAGTTTTATTTTCTAGTGTATATTTAACTGAAGGATTTACGAGTAATTGAAATTTCGTAAATCCGAATATTGTAAGCAAATGGATTTGAAAATTGTCAGAGAACTTTTCCGAAAATTATAGAAAATAATCGATTTTAAGAAGAGTTTGAGTTAAAAATTCTTGAAAATAATAATTTTATCACTAGATCGTCTTCAAGTTTTATAGTTATTAAAAAAAAAAGTTAATTTATATTTTTAAGTAAAAATTTCTCTTATTTTACTCTGATTAGTTATATTTTTGTCAGCAATTGGTCCGTAAATGGTCCGTAATTTTAAATACGTACACTAGTTCGAGCCCTGCGAATATAAATAATGTTTTACTCACGTAATTGTGTCACGGTGGCGCTAAGTGATTTTCCTGAATCAAGGTAGTTAAGAAAAAGGAGATAAGAAAATTTTACAAAGAAGGTTACATAAAAATAAGCGACAAGTAATGGAAAGGATTTTTTTATAAGAAAGAAGCGTAAGAGCTTTTTGTTGAAAAAATAGTCTCAGTTATTCTCTACTAGAGTTTAAAAAAACACACATAATTTGATTTAAAAAAAGGAGTATATATATAATAATAGAGAGGGGATGGAAGCTCGGGCTCCAAAACCTAATCGTCTCCTCCTCTGGTCCATTGTCCCTTTCGTAGCAGACCCCTTGAATCTACCTCCTGCCACTGCTCCTCCGGTTCAATATTAAAGGACTAGAAAGACAAAATAATAATATATGTATATTTTACATTTGCATATGGATTATAACAAGTTAATCCACTAATCCAAGGAGAAAGAACGAGCAAGTCGCGTAACGCGCTATAAAAAGTTTTTTTGTTTTCAACCACACTTACCAGCACCCACCGATTCTGCCCATGGGTCAACCCCTCGCTATCCCGAAAAAACGCCTGTCGGAATGTCAGACGTAACATCCTCTCTAAGGATTGGAAGCCTGTACTCGGAGGAACATCCGGAAGCGCGTGTTTGGAACTAAATAAGGGAAATATTAAATTAATTTTTTTGACTTAATGAGATCGGGGTAATGGACTAATTTTTACACCCTTACCAGAAAACATTACGCCTACCCGGTCGCCAAAGTCCTTTAATCATTTTTGTAAAACCTTGACCTCCGTTAATTTCAGATAGGCCCACGAAATCCCGCTAAAAGAAAACGAGAGAATAGGAAACATCAAATAACTGAACTAAACCAGGAGAAATTGCTTTACTCACTGGTTTCCACTTCGGTACTGAACAAAATAGAAATCTTTCTACAACTCACCGGAGCCCAGAAACCGTGGCACAAGTGTTGCTGGCTGGGTTCGTCCCAGCAATACTCCTGATACCAGCGGGTTCGGGAATAAAGTTTGGGATGACTCTCCCGTACGAGACGCGGGTCATGACGCCAGCAGTCCTTTTCGTCCGCCCTACGAGGGGCCGGCTTCCAGGGGCCAAATTTGATTAGGAAACTGTAAAGAAATGGTTAATTACTATAATATAAGGGCTCAATTCAAATCAAGAATTCAAAGGATTTTGTTACACAAATATTAACTAAATTAGCCAAAATAACACGCACTCAAGCGCGAGTTTAGTTTCTCATTCTATTGTCTATGAATATTTGACAATAATGTTTATTGAATGTTCCTATTTTGTGTATATAAAATAAAATCCTATTATTATATGACCTGATCGATTAAAGAACAATTAGGGTTTAACTTAAAGGGGTCCATTTAACTTTAAATATCAATATTTTAATCAGATTTAGTTTTAGTGAAGATCGCAGTATCAAAATAAGAAACATACAGTAGCAAAAGAAAAATCTTTAACAACTTTTCCAAAGAGAGGATTTTTTTTTCTATTTTATAAAAAGGAGAGAGGGAATTTTACATAATTTTAACAGAAAATTATTCTCCAGTTGTTTCTGACTTTCTCGGGTTTTCAGGTCTCAAGTGATATTTTTTCATACAGATTATAAGCGCCAAATATAAAGATAATTAATTAAAGGGCATGATTTCTTATATTAATCATTTCCAGAAGGCAACTCAGTTTTGAACATTTATTTATCGAAAATAATATTTAAATTTTGTTTTCAAGGTGTTCATTATTTAAATCTACAAATGATCTTAACAATTTTATGACCGATTGGTTTCTTTGACAAGTTTCTTTAAATGGGGAGAATAATGATATTAATAATTGCAAATGGAAAATTTGGGAAGTAATAAAGTTAAACAATAAAAAAAAAATATATATATATATATATATATATATATATATATATATATATATAATCTTGTCTGTTTATGACTCTAATTGCAATATCTCTTAGTGTTTAGCACCAACTTAGACGAAACTTAAAATCAGCGAACGAAATTAAAAATATATTTTACTTATGATAATTATATTGCAGTTTGTATCTGTTTGAGTAAATAAATAAATTTGGCTGTTTTATTAACTTTTGTAACAAATTACTTAAAAAAAATTTGCAGTTTTTTATCTAACTTCGCGATTATTACACTTGAGTAGTGAAAGATGAATTGATAAATTAACTTTATTTTACAATATTTGTATAATTTTCTGATTTATGTCAAACAATAAATTGTTTAATTTTAATTTTATAAATACTAATTGAGAATACTTATCAATTTTTACATGTTTTTCATGTATCAATTTTGACACTTTATTTTCCAAAAAAATTTTCTAAGTCATAACTGGATCTCCTGGTTAGTACAAAGTTAGGACCAGCCTAGGATACATAAAAAGGGGTTGCCAAGTTGGGTCCAAGTAGTGTTTCTTTTCGATCCAAGAATCTCATTTTTTGAGCGATTTTGTTCGTTGTCGTCTTTGTTTTTCGAATGATCATCTCGTTTATTCTTATGTTAAGTGTCAAATCGTATTGTCTAATTTTCTAATCGACCGATTAAATATCGACCGAACTTCTCGACTTTCCCATAACTAACAGCTAAAATAATATAGTAATAACCTATTAAAAAAAATTTTTAATAACCAAAATATTCAAACTCTTTGTTGTTAATTCTTTAAAAAAAATAATTAAATTTATTTTAGTTAATTAAGATTATTATAAAAAGTTAATTTAAGGTGTCTAGAGATTTATGATTTTCAAATTCCCGGACCAAAAATTAAAATATTCCTGAATTTATTTTTAAAACAATAATAACTATAATATTGAAATATTAATACTTTATAATAAAGAAATATAGAAAAAATCGACTTTAAAAATTCAATAGACATCTTCTTTATTTAGAGAAATATAATATTAATTATATATTAACTAATAAGTCGATAACATTGGAAGTTAGATTTAAATTTAAAATTAAACTTGTTTTTATTTTTCTATTAGGTAGACACATTTTTACAATCTCATCACATGAAAAGGTATTATTTTGCAAAGTATTGTTATTATTTTAATTATTGTGTATTAAAATAATAAAAATTAAAAATAATCATACCTAAAATAAAAAAAACAAAATTCAATTTTTCTAGGTTAAAAAAAATAATTCTTTAATAAACATTCTCCTGAGTTTTCTCCTCTCATTAAAATTTTTTCAAATTTAATAGTTTAAGTTGTATAAAAATATAAACATATATTCAAATTTCTCATAAATTTTAACGAAGTAGGGAATATATATATATATTTTTTTTAAATTTTTCGCTGTAATTTTCCGACTTTTCTGGTCTAACTAAATTCCCAGATTTCCCAAAATTCCTAAACACTAGACACTCTGTAATTATATAAAAAATTACGTAAATATAAGAAGTAAATTGATGCCTTGTACAAATGAAAAATAATAAGTTATAAATTAACAATAAAATTAAAAAAAACAAGTTGTTCATTTCATGACCATTTAGCTTCCTCATTATCAATAGAAATTCGTGACGTAATTCACGTACAATATTTTAAAATTCAAAAATTCAAAAATTTGAATTTTTTGTGAAAAAGAAAAATATTTATTAATTTTATAAATTTTAATAAAATATATACTTTGTATACATCAATCGATTCTTTTTCTTGTCAGGAATGTAATTTTGAGAATAATTAATAAAAATATTAACAAATAAAAAAATTATTTCAAAAAATACAAAAAAAAATTTTTTCTAAATTTTAAAAAAATTGTATAAAAAAAAATTTTGTGGATATTTTCGAAAATCCTTGTGTCAGATTTTAGGTATTAATGACTGCAATAAACCTGCAAAATTTCAGGACAATCTATCAAAAGTTGTCTGAGATAATTTGTACACAATTTTTTTGACATACACATACACACACATACATCTGGACATTTGCTCAGAATTGAATATACATATGTTTAAGATGAAAATGAGTCCATATAACCTTCTTTTGAAAAATTGAAAATCGTCACGAATGCAAAGCTTCCTTATGAGGAAGCAAAATGAATAAAAAAAAATTTAATTATAAAATAATAAATTAATAATAATTAATAATATTAATAACAAGTTATAAGAAGTTAGATAAATATGTGTAGTAAAAAAATTAAGGAGTTTTAGAGTTTTAATAAAAAAAAATTTTTACGTCAATAATTGACAGAATATATTTAGGCTTTAACTTTGTTGAAATGATTTTCATAGCAAACAAGTCGCTATAAATAAAAACGTTTAAAGGTAAAGAATTTTTTTTAAAAATTAAATCTCATTATTTATAAATAATATAACATATGCATATAGGCAATTCTCTGGAACCTTTAACTTTTGACTTGAAAAAAAAAATTTACTAGCACATTAATAAAAATTTGTATATAAATTAAAATTAGCATTTAGAATTTATTTTTGCAGTTAAAAATGTAATATTTCGAAGGTCTCATATATTTTTATTCTTTTTTAATAAGACGATTTTTTACAGGTTAAAATCTATTGTTTTCGATTGTTTTGGATTTAAATATTTTGGTTGTCTTTACTTTTTTCTAATATTTATTATTTATTTTTTAATATTCTCTATTAGAGTTATATTAAATTTAAATTAAATTGGTCAAATTTAAATATTTTAATAAAAATTAGTGAATTTAATTATTATTTATTTATTTAATTAAATTTATCTTAATTGTAATATTTTTTCTAGATAACCTTAATAATTTCCTTCTCTGATGCAAGTTTTTCAAATTGTATTCTTCTTTTTCCCTTTTTCCTTCTTTTTTCCCTCATTTGTTCTGCTTTTTATTCTAAATTTCTTTCATTGACCTCATTATTTTTAACTTTACGAATTACATATTTCTATTTTGAACTTTAAAAACAAAACGGTCAATAGTGAAGTTATCAATTTATCACACTGACAACCTTGAAATCCTAATTTATTGCGACAAAAAATTAGTTTTTTACGGTCCTGACAATTTCGGTCCTGACATTTTCACGTGTACCTCCTTGTATCTCGATAATTATTGAAAATTTTAAGGCGTGCTTTTACACACAAGTAAAAAATATAATTGTGCGAATGTGCGTACAGGTTTGATAAATTTTTATAGTTTTGTTTAATTGTGCCTAATCATTTACAGTCCTGACATAACCAGGTTCTTTGTCGAATTCAAGAACAATATTCTTCAATAATTTCAATATAAATTATTGCACATAAAAATTTCAACTGGCCACAGTTTTAGTAAGTTTTAAGCTTTCATTCTATGTATTGTTGAATTCATTTTATTAAGGCACTCTTGAAATATCTGCAAGTACGTTTGCAGTTACGGTCCTGACACGAAAATAAGGGAAATTTTTCGAAATTAAATATCTTTACTTTCCAAATGCGTATAATCTTCTAATTACTTTAAATAATCCTTAGATATTCATTTACATTTATGTATTCGTCGTTTTATTCTATGTTGATGTGCCAACTTATAAAATTAGTTTATGTTTCTGAAAGTACCTAAAGGGACTCTCGTGATTTGCTTACTTTTCCACATTAAAAAATATATATTAATTACTAAACATAATTTAATAATTTTTAAACTAACATATTTTAATATTATTAAACATTCTTTACATGGAACAATAATTCTTTTTATAAAACATTTGATATATCTTGAGTAATTGCATAATAAATATAAGACACCTAAAGGTTAAAGGTTCCAGAGAATTGCCCATATATCTAATTACTATTTGAGATTACAATAATATATATTTTATTAATTTATTTCTAATAAAAAAAATATGATTTTAATATTGAGAACGAACTTCTCGTTTGATCGGAGAAATCGATCGGTTTAGCGAGATGTTCACTTCAATAAGACGAGCGAACATGACTGCTCGGTTATCAAAACAAAAAAAAAATCGTTTTGGTTCGTTTCTCGGATCGTGTCGCTCGAAAGAAACACTAGGTCCAGGCTAGGGCCAATAATCATTTTAGGCATAGCATGGTGATTTCTACACGGGTGGTTGAACTTTGCAGAGAATTTGACTATATTTATTGTGAGGGTAATTGAATCTTTCCCGGAAATGCTATTGTTCGTGAGAGTGATTTAATTCCCGCGAGGAATTTTATTAAAATTTATGACAATACTAAGCAGTAATACTTAATTATTTACTTAATAGATACATAATATAAACCAAAAAAAAGGAAACAAAAAGAAACGAGACAAGACGATAATGTGTTGCGTTCTCGACGCTCGAGACAAGACGATAATCGGTCCTATGATGATGAGACAAGACGAGACAGTAAAAGAATTATCTCCTCGTCTTGTATTACGGCAACACTATCGTGAACAATGAAATTCTTCACGGAAGGTTATCAAAGCCCTAATTACATTCTCAGCAACTATTCAATTATTTTGCATAAATGTTCAAATTCATGATGGGACTTCGGTTAATTTTTTTGAGGAAGGAAGAGAGAATTGAATTCGTTTTAAAGAAAAAATTTTTTCTTTGAATCTGACTAAACTAAATCGTGATATATTTTCTATTTATGTTACTTCATTTAACATCAACATCGTTAAATATTCTATTAACCATACTAACTCAAAAGAAAGAAAGACCTTACTTGACCGAGCAAGCCTAAAACAACGTAGCAAGCTCGACTATGAAATTAGACACCCGCGATAAAACTAACATTCCTCAGCTCATAGACACTACTGAGAGTTGTTTTTCTTTATTTTTTTAATACGTTTTCTTTCTCTCTCTCCTTCTAAAATAAACAAAGTATAGTCCTGAACTCAATTAAGCATTTTAATAGTGTCTTATAATTGCCACTATTGCGGAAAATAAACCCTGCAATGAACAACAAAAATGCTGGTTGAATTTGTTAGAAGTAATAATTAATAAAACAGCGAAATTTTATATGAACGATTGATAATAATCCTAATCAAATGCTTTGAAGAATTTGTTTTGTTTTCTTTTAAATGGAATTTATTTAGTAAATTGATAATTTTAAAATAATTGAATTGTTTCAATAAATTTATTAAAACAACAGAAGTAATTGAATTTTTTTTTAAAAAAAGAGAGTAATATATACATTTTAATAAACTAAACAATTAATTTTTTTGCGAAATCTTATTGCAATTATAGTGAGGACAATTGAATTTTGAACATATTTTGCTATTTGTGGGGATGATTGGACTCTTGCAGGGAATAATATTAATATTTTGTCTTGAAAATATTAACTTATATATTGTTAAAAAAAATGAAAAAATTTGAAATTTACGCGATTCACATACGACATATTAATTTTTGCAGAAAGAAAAAAAATATTCCATACAATTCCCTGATAATTTCAGGTTTCCCTGACTGCAGCAACCCTGCTGATGTTTTCAAAACACCCAATCATTCAGTTGAACCTTCTCAAGGACACAGGTGTGAATTTATTTACGAAAAGAAAACCTTATAAAGGTTCCACTTACCCACGTGATGAGTTTAGCTCCGCCAAAATCCAAAACGCTTGAAGCGCAGCATTATATTCTAATAACTGGATTGTCGCTTCCAGTGAAGGGCCTCGTTGAGCCCTTTCCTGTCGTCGGTAAAGCTCTTCTGAGGAAATAAGAGCGGGAGGATTGTCCTGGTCTTCGCCCCCCGCGGCGGCATTTTGTGCGGTGTTACTATCCCACCCGAAAATTATCTTAATACAAGCACTTCTCCTGGCCCTGCGTTGCTCACCAGGGTTTAGCCTAAAAATCTCCCCCACTCTCCAAAGGGAGTCCCGGAAGTCCTCCTCATCCATAGGCTCAACTTCGGAGTCGGACAGGGCCATGTATGTGTACACCCACTCCTCCTCAAACTCTGCCAAATTGGGTAAGGACATATTAAAAAAAAGGGGAAACCCTTAAGAATTATAACTAAGAAAGAAAAAGAGAATACTGTCTTGATTCAGGAACCACTACAACACTTTCACCAAAACACAATTACCGAGCGCGGCCGCGTCTGAATGAACCGATTCTATTCCGCTCTTAGCAGCCACCTTGCACGATAACGACGACAATGAGACTGGACCCGGTAACTGCGACGTCGGGACTTAGTCATGTGACTAAGATCTCGCATTAGGTTGGTCCACATACAATTGTAATATTCACAACCCAATACAATTCTTTTAGGAAAATAACTTATGATTTTAACAGCAAATTTTAATTGTCCATATAGGAAATACAATTTTGCAACAAAACAAATACAAATTTCAATTTTAAGCCTTTATTCTTTTAATTTCTATTTTTGTTCAAATATAACATTTGTTTGTTATTCGCAATTTTACTGTTCTGACGAGAAAAATTCTAAAAAATTTTAACTAAAATTAATCGTCCACCAAGTTTGAGTATAATTCATTAAAGTTATGAAAGAACAAAAAAAAACTCGTTTCAATCGAATCAAAAAAAAATATATTTTTTTGATTCAGTATTACACTGACTTTTAGAAAATAATAAATAATTAATTATCAATGTTAAATATTTAAAAAAATATTGTTACAGTTTGACAAAAATCAATTTTTTTTAAAGGTAAATCATTTAAAAATCTTTGGATATTTAATTATTTTTCAAAATGCAAATTTCCAAAGAAAAATATCTTCTTATTTTAATTCAATTCTTGTTAGAAAGTTCTAGGGAAATTCAATTATTCAAATACAACTAGATAGTTGTTTAAATGATTGATTATTTTTCTTAAATCTGAGTGTTATGCAATTATTTTATCAAAATATATAAAATAATTGAATTTTTTTTAACGATTTATTTTAATTTTCAAAAAAAATATATATGACGAAAATCGTATTTTAAGTAATTAAAATCACTGAGAATATTATTGTTTGTATAAATGACGGAATTTTGTAGAGAGCTGTATTAATATTTTGAGAATAATTTATTTATTTCAACTGTTATTGACGGATTTAAAGTAGTGGAAATTCAAAAAAATTTTTAACTGAAATTATTAAAATACAAAATAATAATTGATTGAAGATTTCATTATTTTTTTTAATTGAATTTCTATATTGTAGTTATCAAAATTAAGTAAAAAAAAATCATTATATTTTAGCATTAAACTCAACAACTCAATATTAAACCCGTTATTTCGTGACTTTAGGAGTGAGCTAAATTAAGTGATGAAAATAAATAAGGAATTAAATTGAGTCTTGATTTCTGTGGAGAGTAATCGTGACGAGTTCTATATCTAAAAGTAATTTTCCTTATTGAAAATTTTGACTGCTCATCCTGTTCACCCCGGAATCGAACCACAACTAATTCACAACTTGCGCTTAAGTTAGAATTAATATATATTCACACCATTAGGAAAATAAGTAAACATGTATCCTCTAAGGTACAAGGAATTCAGTTACTTGAAGTAAAAGAAAAAAAATGATGATGAGCTATTTTCGTATAAATAATTGAATCCTTACAAGCCTAATGTTCTTTTTTTTGTGTCAATAAATTTCCAAGAGAGTCAAAATTCCTTTAAGGTCAACCAAGGGGAGGAACCGATGAAATTTCAACCCCTTGCTAATTACGTTGTTAAAAGGTGTCAATTCTTCTGGCACTAGCTAGGATCTAAATTTATGCTATAGAGTTGAAATTTTACTTTAAATAAAAAAAAATTCTAATATTAAAAAAAAAAATTTTTATTAGCTAATTAATATTTTATTTTCGAAGCATATCCTAACTTAAAATACCAAAATTTAAAAAAAAAATTCTGTTAACCTCCCTTTGAGCAAACTACGTTAAAAAAAAGAAGAGAAGAGAAAATTTTGTTTCCTCGCTTTTCTCTGTCTTCTGAGTTTCAGGAATTTTGACTGAAAGTTTGAAGAGTGATTAATCTAAAGTTATATACATATAATATAACGTCTCCGATTAGACGGTATTTTTTAGTTGAAAGAAAAAAGGAAAAGGTGGCAATAGTAAGGTAGAATTTCAATAAAGACATTGAGTAATATGTGTAATATGATGTCACAAGAGTCTGTTTATTCAGTAAGTTTAAATAGATTAATATTAATTTTATTACAATTGATATTGTCTTATCATTATTACAATATGTACCCCTTTTAATTTATATTAATTAGGTCTTAAAAAATACCCTTTATGACATTACATTTAATAAAATAAAATCCAATACTTAGAATTGTGACAATAGAAAAAATTATAACTTATGAATATACCTCTGTTTTAGACAGAAAATGATATTTAAAGAAATTAACTAATAAGTGTATGTGTGTGTAAATGTGTAAAAGTAATTACAGAATAATTATCAATTAACTCACCAATTATAACTTATTAAAATTTATATCTCTTTTTTTAGACAGAAAAGTCTCTTATTCCTAGTCTTCCAGTTACACCTGTAGTAATATTCACGTATTCACTTTTACTTCTCTTTTTTTTTTTATATTCTTTTTCTTTTTAATGGTCTTTAAATAAATTCCTTTTTTATTTAAAAAAAAATCAAAAAATTAAAATTGATTTTAATATTTAAAATTTTGGGGTCACTAAATTTTAAATTTGTAATCAATTCTGAAATCCTTTATTATACGTAGAATGAAAGAACTAAATCTTCAAACCACAAAAAAACGAGGTTCAATAATTTTATTACTTTTTTCTTCTTTTAAAATTCTCTTTTCTTTGTTAATAATCTTTATTTATTTATTCTTTTTCTCACACAAACTGCTTTCTCAAATATTTTTTACTTTTAATTCAATTTATCTCGAATAACTTCTTTAATATTTCCTTTTATCTTTATATTTTTAAATAAATCACTTTGTTTCAGTTATAATCTTCTATAATCAACTTTAAATAATCATTACTTCACTCAATATTATATATTTTCACAATAGTAAACAATTAAACTCAATTGATTCAAATTATATAAAATCAACCCTTAAAATTGGGGAAATAAAATACAAAACCTCCGCCTTTTTCGGGAATAAATCACAAAATATAAAAAAATGGTAACGTCCGCTCTGCGGGAAATACTCATTAAGACTCCTCGATTAATTATCGTGGACAATCGGTCACACCCTGGAAAATCGACTAAAATCGGTAAAGTGGGAGAATCCGTTGCACACGGCCCAACAAACCTTGCTGTTGCCAAGCAAGCTTTTAGCAAACTTGCAAATTCCTCAAGAATGGCGTGATATAGTTTGATACTTTGTATCCTGTTTCGCCAATATGCATTCAATTTAGGTATTCTCCACAGTATTATTTAAGAAAAGAAACTCCTTTCTTTAGAGAAATATCTTTTTAATTTAAGGGAGTCGATAAATTACCAAGGGTTGTAGACGATTTCCATACTTGATAACATTTATTTTGTATTTCCCAATCACCCAATATTTAGGTAAAAACCATTAAAAAAAATGTTTAATTTCGAATTTTCTCAAATTCAGGTATAATAAATAAAATATTTGATAAATACAAGTAAATAATTGATGAGAGAATCATATAAAGAATTCTTTTTATCCCTATTTTAGGTGTATGTGTTATTTAATTTAAATTAACAAGCTTACCCATTTATTAGATTCTATATAATCTTAATAAAATTAAAATGTATTAAAAAAAATTAAAGTAGTTGCGTTTTGAACGTAACAATTGTTGTTATAAAAAAGGAAAGCACTAAATCAAGATTGGCAATGGACTTCACCGGACTTCCGTTTTATCGACATACAAAACCAAAAGAATAAAGAACTCGTATGCTTCCTCTATGTTATACTATGTTAACAGTGGAGCCGAGGGCATTTAATTTTGGGGACAAAATTTGGAATTTCGCGGTGGATTGTAATGTGATCAATTTTAGTAATCGGTAACACCGTTCAATAAAATTTTTATTTCCAGCACCAAGGCTTAATACTTTGTATTAAGACCTTGATGCTGGACACCCAACACCCTGATAAGCACAGCTTTGTCAGCATCGAATGCTCTCGACTCCAAGCATAGGGAAGCTGTGAATGAAATAATATTTATTAAAATTTTATTCCCCAAGCACGACGGGATGCAATAACTCAAGTATGTTGCGGCAATGTTGCGAAGCCAAAGGCAAGAACCAACATTCCGGCGACACTATAAAACCTTAGCGGAAAAAGAAACTAAAAGAAAATCTTAAATATAAAACAACAAAACGGTCATTGAGTTTGGGTACACGTGCATTCGTCGGAACACATGGGCATGTGTTAGGTGATGTGAGCACCAACACTATCGCAGGCTCCCTCCGTTACGAGACTCATACGGCTGGACAAGGTTTCGAAATACTGCATACACACACACCCGTACTCGCCTCTACTCGATGCTTCTTATTCAACGTAACCTTCCCTTCCTCTCCCGGCCCACAAGTTGGATTGCATCATCATAATAAACGCACGTGCGTTTGACAAATAACACAAAACTTAAAATACGGGCAAGCAGTACAACTTCTTGCTTCTCTCGAACAACACCTCTCCTGGTTCTGACCTTTCTACGCGAAAGGCGGACGAAAAACAACCATAGAATCTCCTAACCGACGGAGTCCTGCGAGGATTGTGTTTGGAAAATTGGGTTGAGCAGGGTGTAAAATATCCTGACCAACTTAATTTGTTTTCGTGAACCGACCAGTCCGTGCGTGTGGCACCTGCGCCGTCCGAATTCAACAGCCCGCGAAAACCTTGTTTAAAATAACTCCGGTGAGGTATATTGCCAATATTTCCAGTTTTTTACGGGTTTTATTCAGTTAAAGAATAAGAAAGGGAGTAAAGAAAAAAAAATTGATATTGACATAAATTTCGATAAAGAAAGGTGTGTTTGAGTCAAGCTAATAACAATAAAGACGTTTGAGAACTTGAGAATAGTTGTGAGTGAGAAAAACTGCATCAATTTTGCCCGACCGCAGCTATATATTGTTACCACTGTCGTCGGTAGTCGTAAGTACTAAATGTATCGTTCCTAACTTTCTTTATTGCTATAATAATAAACTGTTTTTTTCTTTCTAAGTAACATTTTTCTTGTTTCTTTCACCCCCACTCTTATTCACACTCATTTAAATCCCATCAAAGCAGAGCGTAACTTATAAAAGTGGATAAACGACCTCACAAGATAAACAAGGTAGGTTTCTATCTTGGCAGCTTGGAGCCTCCCCGAACCCAAAAATATTAGGACCAACTCAAAAGTTCAGTAACAATATTTTCGGTTTGTAACAATAAAAAAATTATAAAAATATGAAATGAATTTTGCAGAGCTCAACTATAAAACAATTGACATGCAGTTGTCTTTTATTTTAAGAATTGAATTTTAACCTAAAACCCCAAGAACCTCCGAGTAGAGAGTTTCAGGTGAATCCAATTAATTTTTACGAAACTCGTCCGCCATATTGGATCCGCCATTTTGAATTTTTAAAAACTGACATTATATTCGTAATCAGCGACCCCAAGAACCCCCAAGTAGAGATTTTCAGGTGAATCCAAATTTTTTTTTTCAAAACTGATCCGCCATATTGAATCCGCTATTTTGCATTTTTGAAAACTGATATTATATTCGTAATCAGCGACCCCAAGAACCCCCGAGTAACGAGTTTCAGGCGTTTTCAGTGACGTGAAAAAGTTGAAGCACTATGTTTCATATGTAAGTCATTTTTTTAGTTTTAGCCGCCATATTAGCGTCCGCCATTTTGAAAAAAAAATTGGTCGCTTCAGGGTTTTGTAGCTAAGGGTCCATGGACGCGATATTTTGAGCTTTTAAGACTATCCACCTACTTTTTTCAGGTGAAAATACGTCTGAAATGAAATTTTTTTCTCGAAAAATCGTGTTTTTTTGGAAAAAATTGTTTATAACTTTTTAACAATTTGGTATAAACAAATTTTAACAGCAGAATCTGAAAGAGGAGAAAATTTTACATTAAAAATGGTATGTGTTAATTTTTATATAAGCATTTTAATAAAAAACGAGGTCCTCAAAGTCAATTGAAATTTTTCGTCCGTCTGGTCCTTAATGGGTTAATCTTATTTTAGACAACTATTTAAACTTTTTAGGTAGCATAATATTTAGTGATTATACAAGAAACCAATTAGTAAAATTATAAATTACTTAAAGACATTATAAACTTACACTTATTAATCCTTTAACGACAAAAATTTTTGTCTGTGAAATTAACGAAACGCTTGTCATCCATATATGTGTGTGATTCATATTTTTCAATTGTTTTTTTACCATAAAAATATTCAACACATTTAAATGTGTAAGTATATATTTCATAATTTTTTAAAAAATAAATCGTAAAATAATTTTACCAGCAACACAAAATTTGAAAATATAGGTTCAGGAAAATTTCACTAGCATTCCCTATATGATCTGTTACCATGATTTGAATTTTTCTTTTGGATATTCACTTATAATAATCTTTTTGATTCCTTATTTTATAATATATATATATATTTTTAAATTATTTGCTTATTTATATTTAAATTCTATGGATATATTTTGTGTCCCCCGCCTGTTTATTGAAAAAACTTGTAAGTTTTAGACAAGCTTGGTTTACTAATTATTAATAACCATTATACTACTTACGTTTTTTACTTCCCTTTTTCTTCTTAATTCTAGGGTAATGTCACCTTGAGTGGACCGCCTAAGCTTTATTTCGACCAAATTCTTTATAAAAGCTATGTCTTTTCTAATGTTTTTAAACAATTTTTTTTGTTTTTAAGGTTCCGTACACCGTAGGTGTACTGACGGAACCCTTATGAAATCACTCGTGTGTCCGTCTCAGCCACGCAAAATGGGCTGTCCTCCCCTTAACTTTTACAAATCTTAAGCTGGTGAGCTGAAATTTTGTAGGGATCTTCAGTTTTAAGTGCAGATCACAGGAAAAATATAGCGAACCCGAATGACGGACATATTTTCGAACTAGGAGAAAAAGAAATTGAATTTTTTCGAAAAAAGTACAAAAAAGGACCCTGTCTCCCTCCTTAACTTCTACTAATCTCAACTTGGTGAGTTGAAATTCAGTAGAGATCTACACTTTTAAGTGCAGATTACAGGAAAAATATAGCGATCCCGATTGACGGACATATTTGCGAATTAGGAGGGAAAGAAATTGAATTTTTCCGAAAAAATTGGAAAAAATGACCCTGTCCCCCCTTTAACTTCTACAAATCTCAACCTGGTGAGCTAAAATTTGGTAGGGATGTTCATTCTTAGGTGCACATTACAGAAAAAATATAGCGAACTCGATTGACGGACATATTTGCGAACAAGGAGGGAAAGAAATTGAATTTTTTCGAAAAAAGTGCAAAAAATGACCCTGCCTCCCCCCCTTAACTTCTACTAATCTCAACCTGGTGAGTTGACATTTAGTAGGGATCTACACTTTTAAGTGCAGATTACAGGAAAAATATAGCGAACCCGATTGACGGACATATTTGCGAATTAGCTTTCTGATAGCAGACGACAGGGAGGAAAGTCATTCATTTCTTCGACCATATAAAAATGGCGGCCGTGTTCTCCCAAGGGCAAGAAAATTAGCTGTTCACATGCATTTTTCTTGCCCATGGGAGAAAACGGACGCCATTTTCATACAAGTCGAACAAGTGAATGACTTTTACTCCCTGTCGTCTGCTATCTGAAATCACCGCCGCTTTTGTGCATTAGGAATAAAAAATATCGTAAGTAGCACGAGAATAAAGGCAGCAAATTTCTATACGATGATTTTTGTGACACTTGTTCCGGTCTCGGGGCGCCCTCGACCTCCACTCGAGTCACAAAAATCACCGTAAAGAAATGGCTGCCTTTATCCTCTTGTTGCTTAATATACTATTTCCTTGTTTGTTGATTCGGACAGAGTTTAAAACGCTCTTCAAGATGGTAAAAACCAAAAAGTCATAAGTTGCCCAGCTTAAAATCCCCGTACAGGATCCTTAAAGGATCCTCTCGGGATCCTGTACTGGTCCTGTGCAGAATCCCATACAGGATCCCGTACTCGTCCTGTACAAGATCCCGTACGGCCTCGAAAACCCTTACAAACATGTGTTACTTATTTATACTTATCGTTGCTTTTTAAAAAACTTAGATTATTTTTTCTCTGTTTGGGGAGTTTGTTATTAATTTATATAAACAATTATTAAAAAAAAAATTTCATTACTTGTATGTTTTTCTATTTTGATACTGTGATCCGCGGTGAAGAAAATAAGCCTTACTTGATTAAAAAATATTAATATTTAAAAAAGTTACAAAAGTTTTTCCAAGTTAAACTTTATTTATTGTTTTCTCGAAAAATTGTTTTCGCACGTAAAGTCCCTTTTCATAGAACAGGTCACATATCAAGATTTTATATCCCCAAACTTATCTTCCAAAAAGCATTATATTAACTTCGTGCACAGTGAACGAATACAAAAGGAATTCGTCTACTGTACACAGAGACTCAGTCTTATATTATTTGGAAGAAAACCAAGTAGCACGTAACATTACTGAAGTGACACTGTAATGTAGCATGCAACAATAGTAATATTATAATGCAACAATACAGAAATATTACAGCAATATTTTCCTACAGCAATAATGGGCACTTTAATGACCTCTAGGTTATAAGGGAAAAACTTAGTATGCGCCCGTACAGGTAGATGAAGTGACCATAATACGCCTGAATTGCATAAATATAGTTCTTTAAAGTTATAGATTTTTTGTTAAACGGTCGAAAGCAAGTGTCATGTATCTTATTTATAATAAAGAGACATATAGTTTTTTAAAGTTATTTATTAAAATGAACGAGTAGAAGTTTTACAAGGAAGCGTCATATATCAAACTGATTTGGTTTTTTATGTGAGTCTAGTTATATAAGTAATATAACTAGATATTACTATGGAGATGTAAGATACCAACTTAATATTTAAATATATCACATCCCCTTTCTTTAAGAAAATTATTTAAATTTATTTAGATAAATAATCATTGAGATACGAAGGCTTTTTTACAACTCTACCTGAACGTGTTGTTTTTACATTGTCTGATACATTTAGATCTACATTATTTTGTACATTGATTAAATTCTTCGTTGTGTCATTATTATTCTCTACAATAATTGTTTTTTCTAGATTATTGTTTGTTTCGAAATTTTTACCTATGTTGTAATTATTTAGATCACCAGATGTAGGAACTTTATACAGGAATTTCCTGTTTCTTTCAATTTTGTTACCATTCTCTAATTCGACTTCATATGATCTCGGTCTTTCGCAAAGTTTGGTGACTTTAGCAGGTAATAAATGACTTATTTATTTCTTTTCGAACGAATACTTTGTCGTTGATTTTACAAGGATTTAATTCTTTCGAATTTTTGTCGTATTAGTACTTTTGTTTCGACTGTCGTTCTTCTAATTTACATTTAACTAGTTTATTTTTTTCAACATTTTTCTCATCAATTTTAATTGGCAGAAGGCCTCTAGTTTTTCGATTAAACATTAATTCGTTTGGTGACTCTAATTCATGTGTTATTGGCGTATTTCTATACTCTAAAAGTGCAAGCCATGGATCCTTACTTTCTACTTCTATTTTCTTAAACATATTTTTTACGATTCCAATATGTTTTTCAACCATTCCATTTGATTGAGGATATCTAGGACTAGAAGTTTTACTAATAAAGTTCCATGCTTTTGCAAACTCTTTCATTTCGCGACTGTTTAATTGTGTTCCATTATCAGAATTTACAATTTTTGGTATTCCATGTCGAGCAAATAAAGATTTCAGAATCGCTATGACTGTAAAACTACTAGTATCTTTTAATTGCGCAACTTCTACATATTTGCTAAAATAATCTATTACCAATAACCATTCTGAATTTTTGAAGTGAAATAAGTCAATACCTAATTCTTGCCATGGACCTTCTGGTACATCTCTTACAATCATCGGTTCTTTAGTGTTTTTTCTTTGATGCGAAATACATGTTACACACTTAGATACTAAATCTTCAATTTGCTTGTTCATATTAGGTCAATACAAAATTTCTCTCGCTCTATTTTTACTTTTTACGATACCAAGATGAGGATAATGAATTTTCGCCAACATTTCCTTTCTTAAATTAGAAGGCACTACCAATCGATTACCTTTAAAAACTAACCCATCAATCACATTTAACTCATCTGCGAACGTAAAATACGGTACAATTATTTCCGGAACTTTTGATTTATTCGATGGCCAACCATTTTCTATAAATTTAATTAGCATTTGCATTTCCTCGTCCCTAGATGTTTCAAATTGAAATTCCTCTTTTTTTTCTAACGATATTGGCAAAGATTGTAACAACAAACAAACTTGTTTTTCTATTTCTTCTTCAAAAGATTCGTTATTGTTCTTTAAATAGGCACGAGACAATGCATCCGCCAATAATAATTCTTTACCTGGCTTATATTTTACAATTATGTCGTATTTTTGTAATCTTAATTTAATTCTTTGTATACGAGCAGGGCAGTTGTTCATAGACTTTCTGAAAATGGACTCAAGTGGTTTATGATCACTTTCTACAATTACTTGTTTACCAAAAATATATTGGTGAAATTTTTCACATCCAAATGCTAATACTAAAGCTTCTTTTTCTATTTGCGCGTACCTTTTTTCTGTTTCTGTTAGAGCTCTACTAGCATAAGCAACTGGTAATTGGTCTTGTAGTAAAACTGCACCTAATCCATTTTGCGAAGCATCTACACTCAAAGTTACTTCTTTATTGACATCATAATATTTTAAGACAGGATTTTTTATTAAAATTGATTTTAATTCATTAAATGCTTTTTCTGTATTTGCATCCCATATCCATACAGAATTTCTTTTTATTAAACCTCTTAAAACTGAATTTATTTCTGATAAGTTTGGTATGAATTTACTAACATAAGTGATCATTCCCAAAAACGTTTCTAATTCTTTTTTATTTTTCGGTGCTTCCATTTCCGCGATTGCTTTAATTTTCTCATCGTTCACCTGAATTCCCTTTTCAGAAAATCTATGTCCCATATATTTTACTTCTTTGACGCCTATTTTACATTTTTGAAAATTAAATTTTACATTTCTTTCCTCTGCTTTACGAAGTACTTTTTCTAAACGCTCATTATGTTCTTCTATATTTCGTCCCCAGATTAAAACATCATCGATATAAATTTTTACACCTTCTATTTCGCCAAATATTTCTTCGAAACATCTTTGAAATACTGCTGACGCTGAACATATGCCGTAAGGCATCCGCACGAATTTAAATCTACCAAATGGTGTATTGAAAGTTAAATAATCAGAGGTCTCTTCGTCTACAGCAATTTGCCAAAATGCACAATCTGCATCTAATGTACTAAATATTTTAGCACCCGTCATACTCGAACATAGGTCTGTAAATTTAGAAATATAATAATGCTCTCTCAATATGTTTTCATTTAATGTAGTTGGATCTAATACAACTCGAACGCTTTCATTATCCTCTTTATATTTTTTAATCATAACAAACTGATTCACGCATTTTGTAGGTTTTGTTACCTTTTTGATTACTCCTTTATCTAACATTTTATCTAATTCTTTTTTTAAAGGAGATTTTAAAGTCATTGGAACAGGTCTACAAGGTTCTATGCTAAATTTGGCATTCTCTTTTAATTTAATTTTATATTCGAAATCTGATATACATGTTTTGCCATTAAATACATTTTCGTACTTTTTTAATAATTGGTCTTGATTTATTTCAGTCTTTTCGATATTATGGACTCTTTTTATTAAATTTAATTTTGTTAAAGTTGGTAATCCGATCAAAGTAGGAAGTTTCTTTTCACATTCTACGACAGTGAATTCACGTTTAATTTTTTCTCTATTTACAAATTTACATTCTAAAAAACATTTTCCTATCACTTTAAGACTACTTCCTCCATAAGCATCTAATTTTGTTGTTGTTTTTATAATTTCTGGGTTACCGACTTTTTGTAAATCATTTACCGGAATTACATCCCAATGCGAGCCTGAATCTAATTTTACTCTTAAATTATAATTATCGTTAATCTTTATTGTTTCATACCATTCATAACTTTCAATTTTATTTTCAGTTACCATACCAATAAACATAGAATCATCCTCAATTGACATTTTGCTATTTAACCTAGTTTCTACACTTTCTACTTTTTTATACTTAGAAACACGTGCAAAGTGATTGAAGCGTTGACAAGCTGCACATTTCTTACCGTAGGCTGGACATTGTCGAAATTTATGGAATCCGCCACATTTTCCACATTGTTGTCGTTCTTGACCCTTGTTATAATCCTTTTTCTTATATTCCATTTTTGATTGTTGACTATTTTCCACTGCATTTTTTGATGTTGAGCGAATATTTTCTTCTCTTTTGTTGAATTCCCTTTTATCGAAGTTCTTTTTTACTGCGTGTATTTTTGCTTCTTCGTTTAAAACTTTTATCTGCTGATTCGCCAATTCCGACGCTTTACACATATTGACACATTTTGTCAAATCCATATTATCCTCTCTTAATAATTTATTTTTTTAATTCTGTATCCCTTAACCCACTTATTATTCTATCTTTTATCAGACTATCTTTTAATTCTCCAAAGCCACAAGGACCACTCAACTTTTTTAAATCAGTAAGGAATGACGTGAACTGTTCACCAGATTGTTGTACTCTGGAGAAAAAAATATGTCGATCAACACTTTCATTTGCTTTGGGGGTACAAAAATTTTCAAATGCCTCTATCACATTTTTTAAAACTTTGCCGTCAGCTTCCGATAATCCAAAAGTATTAAATTTTTCCAAAGCTTCATCACCTATAACATGTAAAAGAACTGCAACTTTTCTCTCTTCTGTTTTTGTATCTAAACCTGTTGCTATTAAATACAAATTGAATTTTTGTTTCCATTTCGTCCAATTTTCTTTTACATTTCCTTCGAATGATAGTGGTGGTGGACATCTCATTGACGACTCCATTGTTTCTATATTTTCCTGAGCTTCGTCTGTCTCATAAAATTCTTCTTCGGAATCCGAATTACTATTTTCTTTTCTTAATTTTGGTGGTTGTGAATATTGCACCAAATTACTGTTGTTCTCGACCACGTTTTCGATTTTTAGGTTAGGTGGATCATTATCACTATCGTTTTTTAAATATTCGTGTTCATTTTCACTCATTTCTCATTTCATTAATACATTATTATTTCTTACCGACTGCGCCATGTCATGTATCTTATTTATAATAAAGAGACATATAGTTTTTTAAAGTTATTTATTAAAATGAACGAGTAGAAGTTTTACAAGGAAGCGTCATATATCAAACTGATTTGGTTTTTTATGTGAGTCTAGTTATATAAGTAATATAACTAGATATTACTATGGAGATGTAAGATACCAACTTAATATTTAAATAAATCACAGCAAGTAACACTTTGTCGAGCACACCATGTGAGTGGTGTCCCCATCAAAAAATTGTTCATAATATTAATATTTTTTAAAAATATTATTGTATCTCATTTTCAGTTATTACACGTACTTTAAAAACCGCAACGATTTTAACTTAAAAATAAAGTCTTTCTTTTTCGAAAATGAGAAATGAAGCGAAATGTCAGTGGTGTCCCTTGTCAGTGGTGTCCCCTCAAAATTCTGTTTCTTGCAGCTTATTATTTTATTTTTAATAAATTTGTGTTAAATTTACTCCTTATATGCAGTTAAAAAAGATTTGATACTGGATTGCAATTTATAAGCTGATCTTATTCTCACTATTCAAAAAAAATTATCAGTGAAATCTTTCAAAAATGTCAGTGGTGTCCCTCAATGTTCATATGTCTTTTTGGTCTTCAAAAGTATATTAATTTATGGCAGAACTCATTACAATTAAGTTCAAAATCCAACATTCAAAAATCAAAGTTAGTAGGATCAAAAATGACATTTTAATTTTAATAACCCATATATGTTATGTACAAATGAATAGTATAAAAATATAAAATTCAAAGTAATTAAAAATTTTAAAATTTCACGTTATCTTTAGTCTGTCCAACTTTGACAAACAGGAGCAACATCATTTAAAAATAGATTTTTTACCTAATTGGAATAAAAGGTACTTAAGCAAAGAATGAAAAATGAAAATAAAGAAGTGCAATTACATTTCGTTTGAGGTAAAACTTTGTTTTTATTAGATACTTTTTGATTATTTAAATTTTCTCAACCTTAACCCTTTAACGCCCAGTGGTACATATGCTGTATCACAAATGCAAATTCTTAACTCTAGTAAAACTCTTCCAGCAGATAATTAAAAAAACAAAAGCAAAAAAATAATAATAAATAAAAAATGTGTCAAGATACATTTTCTCCATGACGGACGAAATAATTAAAAAAATTAATCAGATTCGTTTAAAACTTGTTACTCGAGGGTTTTTGGGGTCGCTGATTACGAATATAAAGTAAAAATTGCAAAATTGAAAATAGCGGATCAAATATGGCGGACAAAAAAATTAAAAAAAAACCGTTGCCAAGTTGTAGGATTTTTTCGTAAATCTCGTTGTGTTTATTTCATGAACACTTTGCTTCCTCATAGAGATAATAATAGAAATAAATAATATAAAATGTTTTATATTTTCGTTAATTGGTATTCAGACAATTTCATTAAAAGTTCATTTATTATAATATTTTTAATGTTTTTTTTAATTGTTATTTTATAATTGTTTATATTTTTTTTGTTATAAGTAATATGGATTAAAAACAAATAATTTGTTAATTAATAGTTAAAGAAAAACTCTTATATAAAAATTTTTTAAAAATGTTATATTCGACAATTTTTTGTCCCCCGAGGAGACCTACAATTTAAAAAAATTAAAGCTTTTAGCTCTTCCTCGTTCTGAGATATTGAGGCAAATGTAATGTTAGTACACACACACACATCGGGATAATTTTTTAAAATTCCTTTTTTTGGACTTCTGAGATAAAATTACATCAAAATTTTTAATTATTTATTTATAACATTTATACC